AACTAAGAACTAGAACAGAACTAGAACAGAACTAGAACAGAACTAGAACAGAACTAGAACAGAACTAGAACAGAACTAGAACAAACTAGAACAGAACTAGAACAGAACTAGAACAGAACTAGAACAGAACTAGAACAGAACTAGAACAGAACTAGAACAGAACTAGAACAGAACTAGAACAGAACTAGAACAGAACTAGAACAGAACGAAACAGAACTAGAACAGAACTAGAACAGAACTAGAACAGAACTAGAACAGAACTAGAACAGAACTAGAACAGAACTAGAACAGAAACTAGAACATAACTAGAACACTAGAACAGAACTAGAACAGAACTAGAACAGAACTAGAACAGAACTAGAACAGAACTAGAACAGAACTAGAACAGAACTAGAACAGAACTAGAACAGAACTAGAACAGAACTAGAACAGAACTAGAACAGAACTAGAACAGAACTAGAACAGAACTAGAACAGAACTAGAACAGAACTAACAGAACTAGAACAGAACTAGAACAGAACTAGAACAGAACTAGAACAGAACTAGAACAGAACTAGAACAACTAGAACAGAACTAGAACAGAACTAGAACGAAAGAACTAGAACAGAACTAGAACAGAACTAGACAGAACTAGAACAGAACTAGAACAGAACTAGAACAGAACTAGAACAGAACTAGAACAGAACTAGAACAGAACTAGAACAGAACTAGAACAGAACTAGACAGAACTAGAACAGAACTAGAACAGACTAGAGCTGAAATAAACTGAACTAAACCGAACTAGAACCGATTTAGGAATTAAGCAGTCTGTTTCATGCATTTTATTGTCCAGATCCCGTAAATTTCCAAATGGGCATTGTTATTTAAAGTTGCAAAAAGTCAAATTTTACAATTAAAATTTTATAGGAAATATGTATAAAACGATAAATAATGTTATAAAATTTTAAATCATAAATTGTCATGATAACACTGCCCACAAATCTCGTGTTTAGCTCGCATACCCCAAATTTTTTGAACTATAACGTCCATCAAATTATTGTGCTCTTACAATAAGCAGTTATTTTTAATAATTATACGATATGCTGGCACTTACTGATTTAATAATTTATTTTTAATTATTTATTAAGTGCAAATTATTAAACGAAATTTATAGAATTTTATGATCTAGTTTTCTTTGGAGCAAATTAAAAGGTAAGCATAATTCGATAGCAAGTAGAGAACGGGCTATAACGGCCATATTTTTCAAAGGGGTTTTTTTGTATTAGTCAGTCCAGTGATATACATATACAGACATATTTACATAAATACATATATTTTTAAAAATTGATAATGTTCTCAAGTTTAGACGGTAAGAAAAGATAAGGTTTGGTTAGAAGATAAATAGTCAGAAAATTTTTGTATGAATTAAAAAATAAATATATCTAAAGTACTAGTATTTGGGCAAATAAGTAAACAAAATATATTTTGGGCATGTGCTAGTTGTCGGGAACATGAGTTCTAAGACTTGGCAATAACTAACAAATTTATACGTCGAAATACGTAAAAATAGAAGATTAAATAGAAATTTCTTAGAAAAAATGATTTATTAAAACAAAATTTAATTAAAAGGGTACTTTTTTTTTTGTTTAAAAACACTTTGGTACTTTTTGGCACTTAAAAGTCTGGCCAGATTTTAAAGGTTACCGGAAGCTTCAAACAAACGAAAATATTACAAAAAGCATAATAATTGTTTTTATCTATAAAATGTAACTACAACAAATTTTAATGAAAAAATGATAAGTAGAAAAATATAATAATTTGTGTCAATATTTTTTCTTATTTAAAGATAAATATCTGCAAAACGTAGCATCAGTATTGAAAAGTCTTTAAACAGTAACACGAGTTTCCCACGATTAAATACGAAATGTTTAAAGGTAAGAGAGAACTTTTCTTTTTGGAAAATTAAATGTCTAACTATAATTTCCCCTCTCCTCTTTTCAGTCTACTTTCTTTTCCTCATGGCGGGCTCATTGTTTAGCCTTCTGGCAGCCCAGTCTATTAGCATAGATCTGTTGTGTTCCTTGGCACCCAATACCACTATTCTACAACCCCATAGTTGTACAGAATGGTTAAAATGCCCCAGTACTATAGAAGCATCAGACATGGAAACGGGTTCTTGTGTAGTTGGCCTGTACTTTAACAAAAATACGGGCAAATGTGACTATAAGGAGAATGTTCAGTGCCCCTTTGAAATTAGCTTCAAAAATCGTTGTTCTCCGGCAACTGAAGGCTCATTCTTGGTAGATGAGAACAATTGCAGTGGTTACATCTATTGCCAAAATGGTGTAGAAATGAAATCAGTTTGCCCCAACAATTTAGTATTTGATCCCGATAACAAGGCCTGTGTTTATCAACATCAATATAAGTGCCCCCTAGCCATAAACAAAAAGGCAGCAATCCTCTGTGCTTGTCTCTGCCCGACAATATGTTCTTTGCCCATCAAGAGGATTGCTCTAAATACAGTCAATGTCAAAAGGGTGTCCTATCCACCCATTCCTGTAATAAAAATTTTGCCTGGGATTATGTAGAAGGTAATTGTGTGCCTCTGGAAGAAGCTGTGTTTGCCTACAGCCCAAAAACCCGAACCAGAACTTAAGGTATGTGTGGATCGTGTGGGTCCTGTACCCGATGATCATTCCTGCAGTGGTTATTATTTCTGCCGCCAAATGTCCAATGATACTCACGATCGTAAACCAGAACATTTCACTTGTGCATCGGGTACCTTCTTCGATTCGAATACACTTTCGTGTCGCAATCGTTTAAATGTGAAATGTTCTCTAGATCGTTGTGAGGGTATGGGCAATAAATATGTCAATATTGCCGGAGATTGCAGTTCGTATGTCTTGTGTCAAAATGGTGTGGCTGGTTTGCGAAATTCCTGTCCCAAAGATCATTATTTTGATGAGCATACCCAAGGTTGCACACCCCAAGTTGTAGCTATGCAGCTTGTGCGGCTTAAATTTTATTAAATTGTGTTCTTTGTTGTATTTTATTTTTGTAATAAATTAATAATATTTTCATAAAATTTCAATGAATTTCAGTTTAAGTTTCGTTTCTATTCTAGTTCTAGTTCTGTTCTAGTTCTGTTCTAGTTCTGTTCTAGTTCTGTTCTAGTTCTGTTCTAGTTCTGTTCTAGTTCTGTTCTAGTTCTGTTCTAGTTCTGTTCTAGTTCTGTTCTAGTTCTGTTCTAGTTCTGTTCTAGTTCTGTTCTAGTTCTGTTCTAGTTCTGTTCTAGTTCTGTTTCTAGTTCTGTTCTAGTTCTGTTCTAGTTCTGTTCTAGTTCTGTTGTAGTTCTGTTCTAGTTCTGTTTACTGTTCTGTTCTAGTTCTGTTCTAGTTCTGTTCTAGTTCTGTTCTAGTTCTGTTCTAGTTCTGTTCTAGTTCTGTTCTAGTTCTGTTCTAGTTCTGTTCTAGTTCTGTTTAGTTCTGTTCTAGTTCTGTTCTAGTTCTGTTCTAGTTCTGTTCTAGTTCTGTTCTAGTTCTGTTCTAGTTCTGTTCTAGTTCTGTTCTAGTTCTGTTCTAGTTCTGTTCTAGTTCTGTTCTAGTTCTGTTCTAGTTCTGTTCTAGTTAGTTCTGTTCTAGTTCTGTTCTAGTTCTGTTCTAGTTCTGTTCTAGTTCTGTTCTAGTTCTGTTCTAGTTCTGTTCTAGTTCTGTTCTAGTTCTGTTCTAGTTCTGTTCTAGTTTGTTCTAGTTCTGTTCTAGTTCTGTTCTAGTTCTAGTTCTGTTCTGTTCTGTTCTGTTCTGTTCTAGTTCTGTTCTAGTTCTGTTCTAGTTCTGTTCTAGTTCTGTTCTAGTTCTGTTCTAGTTCTGTTCTAGTTCTGTTCTAGTTCTGTTTAGTTCTGTTCTAGTTCTGTTCTAGTTCTGTTCTAGTTCTGTTCTAGTTCTGTTCTAGTTCTGTTCTAGTTCTGTTCTAGTTCTGTTCTAGTTCTGTTCTAGTTCTGTTCTAGTTCTGTTCTAGTTCTGTTCTAGTTCTGTTCTAGTTCTGTTCTAGTTCTGTTCTAGTTCTGTTCTAGTTCTGTTCTAGTTATGTTCTAGTTCTGTTCTAGTTCTGTTCTAGTTCTGTTCTAGTTCTGTTCTAGTTATGTTCTAGTTCTGTTCTAGTTCTGTTCTAGTTCTGTTCTAGTTCTGTTCTAGTTCTGTTCTAGTTCTGTTCTAGTTCTGTTCTAGTTCTGTTCTAGTTCTGTTCTAGTTCTGTTCTGTTCTAGTTCTGTTCTAGTTCTGTTCTAGTTCTGTTCTAGTTCTGTTCTGTTCTAGTTCTGTTCTAGTTCTGTTCTAGTTCTGTTCTAGTTCTGTTCTAGTTTGTTCTAGTTCTGTTCTAGTTCTGTTCTAGTTCTGTTCTAGTTCTGTTCTAGTTCTGTTCTGTTCTGTTCTAGTTCTGTTCTGTTCTGTTCTAGTTTGTTCTAGTTCTGTTCTAGTTCTGTTCTAGTTCTGTTCTAGTTCTGTTCTAGTTCTGTTCTAGTTCTGTTCTAGTTCTGTTCTAGTTCTGTTCTAGTTCTGTTCTAGTTCTGTTCTAGTTTGTTCTAGTTCTGTTCTAATTCTGTTCTAGTTCTGTTTTAGTTCTAGTTCCGTTCTAGTTATTAAGAAGTTTTAAGAAGTTTTTTGACATTTATCAATAATATTATTTTTAAACTTTAAAACATAGTCAAAGTAATTACCTAACTTTACCTGGTCCTTATGCGGAGTACTTTTTACCACCCCATTAGTACCTGAAATTAAACAAAAAGTACCAAGAATGCAATAAGTTAAATTAACGCAAAATATTTTATATGTATGTATATATAGAAGTATGTTTCAACAGACCAACTATGATGAATAATATAGGTGGTCAATGGAAAAAACAGATCCATCAAAATCAAAACTGTCAGATAGTAAATATGAAATATCAGATTTACAGATAAATTCGATTAGTTGTCAATGCATGGATTTGTTATAAAAACCTAGAAACTTTTTTCAAATAAGTTCAGTAGTAATTTTAACACGGAATCGAAAAAGTTGTTTTTTTAAGATTTAAGCGAACTAACCTAGTGAAATTAAACGAAATGTGTGGTAAGTTCTAAAAATAAAAGTTTTAAGTCGGAAATAAAGTAAATAAGTATTAGTGAAAGTTTAAAAATATATTAAAAACTAATTTGAAACTTATTTAATATATATAGTGTTGTGTAGGGTTTTAATGTTAAATATACTACTATTCAGTATTTTATTGAAAATTTATTGAAATTAATAAAAACCTTGAAAATTTTTATAATTAAAACTATTAATATACATAGATGTTCTTAGTTTAAAGTACTTGTGTCTTTTAAGTAAGTACTCGTATTACTGAAATCTTATCATTTAAATCTTCTAAATAACTTTAATTGTTTTCCACACATTTACCGAAATTTTGTTATCGAAGATTTCATTAACGAAAATTTCTATATAAATTGGGGATTTTTTTTTTTTTTTTTTTGGAAGACAATAATTTTTAGACAAGCCCATACATATATACTTACATATGTACATATGTACATACATATGTTGTAGTTTTAGATGAAAATATTTAACACTTTTACTTTCTTGATAATTTATACCTTCCAACCCCCCACCTCCCAATTTTTTTAAATCGACCAATTTACGCATTAAATCACAAATCAAAACAAGGCCGACTATATAATACCCTACACCGGTTACAAAAATAAAATGTGATTTTATTTTCATAATAAAGCATTGTAGTTGAATTGTACCTTGCCTCCGATATATTAAGCCATTTATTGTTGAGTAAAATTGTGAACATTTAAGTCAAATTTTGAAGGGGGCTTTGTATAGGTGCTATGGTCAAAGAGACTCTATTATTATAAAATTCATGAGAGTCATCAAGGCTAGTATAGCACTTGGTTTTGCAGCTTTGTTGAGATACGAGTATATTAAACATAATTATGAATTTAAAAGTTCTATACGTCGGGTTGGAGGCTAGGTGAAATAATGGACCGATATTAACCATTTTCAATAAGCTTTGCCTCCAGTACCGTAGAAGATCATGTGTCAAATTTCATTGAATTATCATCAAAATTGCGACCTGTAGTTTGATTACAAGGTTTACAAGCCCTATTCGGGGGTTCAGTTGTATGGGGGCTAGGTGAAATAATGGACCGATATTAACCATTTTCAATAAGCTTTGCCTCCAGTACCATAGAAGATCATGTGTCAAATTTCATTGAATTATCATCAAAATTGCGACCTGTAGTTTGATTACAAGGTTTACAAGCCCTATTCGGGGGTTCAGTTGTATGGGGGCTAGGTGAAATAATGGACCGATGTTAACCACTTTCAATAGCTTTATTTCCGGTACCATAGAAGATCATGTGTCAAATTTCATTGAATTATCATCAAAATTGCGACCTGTAGTTTGATTACAAGGTTTACAAGCCCTATTCGGGGGTTCAGTTGTATGGGGGCTAGATGAAATAATGGACCGATATTAACCATTTTCAATAAGCTTTGCCTCCGTACCATAGAAGATCATGTGTCAAATTCATTGAATTATCATCAAAATTGCGACCTGTAGTTTGATTACAAGGTTTACAAGCCCTATTCGGGGGTTCAGTTGTATGGGGGCTAGGTGAAATAATGGACCGATGTTAACCACTTTCAATAGCTTTATTTCCGGTACCATAGAAGATCATGTGTCAAATTTCATTGAATTATCATCAAAATTGCGACCTGTAGTTTGATTACAAGGTTTACAAGCCCCATTCGGAGGTTCAGTTGTATGGGGGCTAGGTGAAATAATGGACCGATATTAACCATTTTCAATAAGCTTTGCCTCCAGTACCATAGAAGATCATGTGTCTCAAATTTCATTGAAATTATCATCAAAATTGCGACCTGTAGTTTGATTACAAGGTTACAAGCCCTATTCGGGGGTTCAGTTGTATGGGGGCTAGGTGAAATAATGGACCGATGTTAACCACTTTCAATAGCTTTATTTCCGGTACCATAGAAGATCATGTGTCAAATTTCATTGAATTATCATCAAAATTGCGACCGTAGTTTGATTACAAGGTTTACAAGCCCCATTCGGAGGTTCAGTTGTATGGGGGCTAGGTGAAATAATGGACCGATGTTAACCACTTTCAATAGCTTTATTTCCGGTACCATAGAAGATCATGTGTCAAATTTCATTGAATTATCATCAAAATTGCGACCTGTAGTTGATTACAAGGTTTACAAGCCCCATTCGGAGGTTCAGTTGTATGGGGGCTAGGTGAAATAATGGACCGATTTTAAACCAATAGGCTTCGTCCCTGGGACAATAGAAGATCATGTACCAAATTTCATTGAATTATCTTCAAAATTACGACCTGTAGTTTGATTACAAGGTTTACAGTGGACGGACGGACGGACGGACGGACATAGCTAAATCGACTCAGAAAATGATTCTAAGCCGATTGGTATACTATATATACCCTCCCCACTAAAGTGGGTGTAGGGTATAAATATAAAATATTTACTTTGGTATAATTTTGGATATAAGAAATGCCTTAAGCAGTTAGCTTATCACTAGTGCTACTACGATAATCTTAGTAAAATAATTAAAAAAATTATATTAACAAAAATGACAAAACAAAATTTTAATGATAATTTTAAATTTCTAAGAATTATACACAGGAATAGTGTTAGTTACATAGCCATAAACATATAAAAAACCATATATGTATATTTAAGCAAATAAGAAAGTATAGACGGTCATGATCGACAGGGTCAAATATGGGCCAATTTAAAACAAATTTAATTGATGTATTTATGTTTACATAAAAGTTATTTACACAAAAGTTCTAGTAATGTTCTAGTACTGTTTTAAATTATGTTAGTACTGTTCTAGTTTTGATCTAGTTCTGTTCTAGTTCTGTTCTAGTTTCTGTTCTAGTTTTCTGTTTTAGTTCTGTTCTAGTTCTGTTCTAGTTCTGTTCTAGTTCTGTTCTAGTTCTGTTCTAGTTCTGTTCTAGTTCTGTTCTAGTTCTGTTCTGTTCTAGTTCTGTTCTAGTTCTGTTCTAGTTCTGTTCTAGTTCTGTTCTAATTCTGTTCTAGTTCTGTTCTAGTTCTGTTCTAGTTCTGTTCTAGTTCTGTTCTAGTTCTGTTCTAGTTCTGTTCTAGTTCTGTTCTAGTTCTGTTCTAGTTCTGTTCTAGTTCTGGTCTAGGTCTGTTCTAGTTCTGTTCTAGTTCTGTTCTAGTTCTGTTCTAGTTCTGTTCTAGTTCTGTTCTAGTTCTTTTAGTTCTGTTAGGTTCTGTTTCTAGTCTGTTCTAGTTCTGTTCAGGTTCTGTTCTAGTCTGTTCTAGTTCTGTTCTAGTTCTGTTCTAGTTCTGTTCTAGTTCTGTTCTAGTTCTGTTCTAGTTCTGTTCTAGGTTCTGTTCTAGTTCTGTTTCCAGTTCTGTTCTAGTGCTGTTCTAGTTCTGTTCTAGTTCTGTTTCTAGTTGTTCTAGTTCTGTTCTAGTTCTGTCTAGTTCTGTTCTAGTTCTGTTCTAGTCTGTTCTAGTTCTGTTCTATTCGGTGCAGTTCTGTTCTAGTTCGTTAGTTCTGTTTAGTTCTGTTCTAGTCTGTCTAGTTCTAAGTATTGTCTATTCTGTTCTAGTTCTGTTAGCTCTGTCTAGTTCTGTTCGAGTTCTGGGTCTAGTCTGTTCTAGGTTCTGTTCTAGTTCTGTTCTAGTTCTGTTCTAGTTCTGTTCTAGTTCTGTTCTAGTTCTGTTCTAGTTGTTCTAGTTGTCTAGGTTCTGTTCGAGTTCTGTTCTAGTTCGGTTCTAGTTCTGTTCTTAGTTCTGTTCTAGCTTCTGTTCTCAGTTCTGTTCTAGTTCTGTTCTAGTTCTGTTCTAGTTCTGTTCTGAGTTTCTGTTCTAGTTCTGTTCTGAGTTCTGTTCTAGTTCTGTGCTAGGTTCTGTTTCTAGTTCTGTTCTAGTTCTGTTCTAAGTTCTGTTCTAGTTGTTCTAGTTCTGTCTGTTCTGTTTCTAGTTCTGTTCTAGTTCTGTTCTATGTTCTGTTCTAGTGTCTGTTCTAGTTCTGGTCGAGTTCGGTTTCGAGTTCTGTTCTAGTTCTGGTTCTAGTTCTGTTTAGTTCTAGTTCTAGTTCTGTTCGAGTTCTGTTCTAGTTCTATTCTACTTCTCTTCTAGTTCTGTTCTACTTCTCTTCTAGTTCTGTTCTGCTTCAGTTCTACTTCAGTTCTAGTTCTGTTCTACATGTGTTCTAATTAGCTTCTATTTTTAGTTCTATTTTAATCAGCGAATAGCGAACGGATTTAATTCGCTCGCGATTTTAATTCAAGCGATCTAAATATTTCATATTCCCGCTAATAAATCGCGATAAGTGTTGAAAATTTAAAGAGCGTTAAATAGAACTCGCTCTCATAATTTTGAAATTTAAATAAATTAAAATTTATAAGACTATAATTAAATTATATATACATAAGATATAACTAAATAAATTTCAAATTGAATATATGTACATATGTACATTAGGGTTATAAACAAAGTAAGGCACTATCACGATGTGGTAGCCAGTAGTGATCTAACAACGAAAACGTTTTTCTTAAGTAATTTTGTTGCAAAAACTTTCGATCGATTGCAAGCGAGTTAAAAATATAAAAACATGTAATATCACTTATGAAGCGAATACAAAAAAAGTCTCGAATTAAAATTTGGCTCGCGTGTTAAAAAATAAAACTCGTGATTTTGAATTGTATAGCGATCGCGAGCTTATAATTCTGTTCTAGTATTCTTAACCTTGCAGTGTAGATATATATATATATATATATATATATATATATATATATATATATATATATATATCTATATCTATATATATATATATATCTATATATATATATATATATATATATATATATATATATATATATATATATATATATATATGTAGTTCTCTGCTGGCTATCTGTTGTCTAAATTATTAGGTTTTTTGGAATTATAGTAAGACCATTTTTTCATCTTATCTATAATATATAAGTTATTTGTTATTATTAATTAAAATTTTTGTCCAAAAATATATAGATATATATTTTGCTGTATTTATGTACATTTGTATCAATCAGTTGAAATATTGCCTATAAAAAGACAACAACCTTTAGCAAATAGAGTTAGTGTTAAAGTAACTTTCAAAATCAAACGGAAACATTAGTTAAGAAAAAATTTAAATAATTCTTAAAAAATGATAAGTGAGTGTTAAAAAAAAATACAAATAGCATTTAAATGGAATTTGTTTTTCTGAAAATGTGTGTGTATTTTGTTATTATTTTTGTTTTTTTTGTAATTACAGCTAAAACTTTATTGGCAAGTGTTGCCATTATGCTAATAGCAACTGTCTATGCTGAATACGATGTGGCCAAATATTGTCAACTTGTGAAGACCGGTACGAAAATGCCCAGCATGGAATCCTGTCAAGATTATTACATATGTGGCCTTAATAACCAGCCAATACCAGGCAAATGCGACGCTAATACTGTCTTCGATAAAGATACACAAGGCTGTGTACCAGAGGACACAGGGTAACTGCTTTTTAAGTTTGGATAATCCATGCGAAAATAAGGATGACACATTTGCTCCCAGTGCTAAAGCTTGCAATGAATGGCACTATTGTTTAAATGGAAAAATAGCAGGAAATGGTACCTGTCAACCAGGACAAATATTTTACGCCTCTAACAGTACTTGCATTAATGGCCATTGTCCAGATGGCAATAGCAATAGTGGTTTTACGCCTGTTCTAAACCTATGTGATATTATGCAAAATGATCAATTCTTTGGTGATTTCGAAAACTGCAACGCTTGGCACAGGTGTAATAATGGAAAGCCGCAAGATGGCAAATGTCTAGACAACTTGGTAAGTATACAGAAATCCAGCTAATAATTATGATTAAAACTTAGACTTCTAAAAAAAACATTTAAACTTTATGGTAAATATTTTTTCTGGCAGGTTTACGATACGAAAAAAGGCATGTGTTTGAAAAATGATGGCACAATGTGTGATAGAACCGGTGGTATAAGTGCAGTCAGTGGTGCACCTAATCCATCATTATGTACACAAAATAAAGTAAATAATAAAGTGGGCGATCAACTAAAGTGTTCCGTTTATTATGTATGCACAGAAGAAACGACTACCTCGGATCCCCCGACACCACCAACTTATAATTGGATAAGAAGATAATTGCGGTTATGGTGAATATTTTGATGTTTTAAGCAACGAGTGCTTAAGTCGTTCGAAAGCTCGTGCCTACCCCGGTTGTAATCGTTGTGAATTTACTACCGGCAGTACTACATATTGGGTAAATGCCGACAGTTCTGATTGTTCAAAATTCAGTACTTGCAGAAATGGGCAAAAACTAAGTAATGGTGATGGTAATTGTTCTAATGGATATTACTTCGATGAAGCAGTTCAATATTGCATTCAGGGTAATGAAAAAAAATGGAGCTTGTGAAAATTATAAATGTGATGAAAATCGTGTTTGCACGCTACAGGCACCAGCTTAATATAATAATTTTCAATAAACAATACTTTTTCAAAAACCAAAAAAAAAAAAACAAAAAATACAATTTCGTCTTCAACCTATAAAATATTTCAATATTAATCAATCTATAAGAGATTGGACAAAATTCTGAAAAATAAATAAATAAAATGTTATTTTAAAAATTTAATTATTTTTAATCCAAAAGTTTTTAAATCACTTTTCATCACTTCAAACTGAATCACTGAATGCTACACCAGCTAAAGTTCTTACTACTATATATATATAGGCGTGAAGATAAAATTGAAATTAAAATCCTAGATAAAAATCTAGGATTATGTTAGGTTAACAGAGCTCTGTTAATCCTAGACATAAAACTTTTATGTTAACCTAACAGAATTCTGTTCTGTAAGTTTACAGAACTGTCATTAAATGTAAATAATATTATGTTAATGTTATTTTCACATAAATTATATTAACAGAGTTATGTTAAAACTTAACAGTACTTTGGTTAAAAAGTTTAAAAAAATAGTATTCCCTGTACTATTACCACTAATAATTGCTAGTTAGTGGGAAAAAAAAATATTGGATATCATTTCTAGCCGGATCCGAAGGAAAACTTAATGATAAGAAGTGTTAACAGTGGGCCTTTTAATTAATTTTTGTTATTTAAAAAAAAAAATTTTACTAAACAGTCCTTTTTGAAAGGATGCGAAAGAACAGTTAATGGTCAAAAGTGTTAACATTGAGACTTGTATGTCCTTTTTGTTATTTTTTTTTAATTTTCTCAAAAATAGTATTTAAGTCCTTTTTAAACTACAAATTGGGAGCGGGCGGAAAAAATTGTATATCATTCCTAGCCGGACTCAAAGGAATACCTTATTTTAAAAAGTGTTAACAGTGGGCCTTTCAAATTCGGCTAGGAGTGATTACCAATATTATCTTAATTTTAAGTGGAAAAGGGACTTAAATCCTTTTTTAGTGAATTGAAAAAAAAAATACAAAAGTCACTTAAAAGGCCTACTGTTGACACGTTTAACCATTAGGTTTTTCCTCGAATCCGTCCAAGAAGATATCCAATATTTTTTCTCAACCCACTATCAATTTTAAGTGGAAAAAGAACTTAAATCATTTATTTAATGTTGATCATTTTGTTCTGGTTTTAACAGAAGTTCTGTTAAGTATTTAACATATCACAATTATTTCAATTTAAAATTTCCTAAGTTTACGGATTTTTTAAAGCTTTAACATCAATTCTGTTAACTTAAAATGACTGTTTAAAGTGACTTTACTAATTTTAAAAGTTTGTGTCTGGGATTCAAATTTCAAATTTATCATCACGCGGTCAGAAAATTTTAAAGAACTTTTTTAAGGATATTATTCAAAATTTACTAAAAATTCAGATCTTGTTCTGTTATAGTTCTGTTATAGTTATATTCTAGTTCTGTAATAGTTCTATTATAGTTCTACTCTAGTTTTGTTCTAGTTCCGTTCTCGTTCTTTTCAAGTTCTGTTCTATTTCTGTTCTAGTTCTGTTCTAGTTCTGTTCAAGTTCTGTTCAAGTTCTGTTCTAGTTCTATTCTAGTTCTTTTATAGTTCTATTCTAGTTCTGTTCTAGTTCTGTTCTAGTTCTGTTCAAGTTCTGTTCTAGTTCTTTTCTAGTTCTTTTCTAGTTCTGTTCTAGTTCTGTTCTAGTTCTGTTCTAGTTCTATTCTAGTTCTATTCCAGTTCTATTCTAGTTCTGTTCTAGTTCTGTTCTAGTTCTGTTCTAGTTCTGTTCTAGTTCTGTTCTAGTTCTGTTCTAGTTCTGTTCTAGTTCTGTTCTGTTCTAGTTCTGTTCTAGTTCTGTTCTAGTTCTGTTCTAGTTCTGTTCTAGTTCTGTTCTAGTTCTGTTCTAGTTCTGATCTAGTTCTGTTCTAGTTCTGTTCTAGTTCTGTTCTAGTTCTGTTCTAGTTCTGTTCTAGTTCTGTTCTAGTTCTGTTCTAGTTCTGTTCTAGTTCTGTTCTAGTTCTGTTCTAGTTCTGTTCTAGTTCTGTTCTAGTTCTGTTCTAGTTCTGTTCTAGTTCTGTTCTAGTTCTGTTCTAGTTCTGTTCTAGTTCTGTTCTAGTTCTGTTCTAGTTCTGTTCTAGTTCTGTTCAAGTTCTGTTCAAGTTCTGTTCTAGTTCTGTTCTGGTTCTGTTCTAGTTCTGTTCTAGTTCTGTTCTAGTTCTGTTCTAGTTCTGTTCTAGTTCTGTTCTAGTTCTGTTCTAGTTCTGTTCTAGTTCTGTTCTAGTTCTGTTCTAGTTCTGTTCTGTTCTGTTCTGTTCTGTTCTGTTCTAGTTCTAGTTCTAGTTCTAGTTCTAGTTCTAGTTCTAGTTCTAGTTCTGTTCTGTTCTAGTTCTGTTCTAGTTCTGTTCTGTTCTACTTCTGTTCTAGCTCTGTTCTAGTTCTGTTCTGGTTCTGTTCTAGTTCTGTTCTAGTTCTGTTCTAGTTCTGTTCTAGTTCTGTTCTAGTTCTGTTCTAGTTCTGTTCTAGTTCTGTTCTAGTTCTGTTCTAGTTCTGTTCTAGTTCTGTTCTAGTTCTGTTCTAGTTCTGTTCTGGTTCTGTTCTAGTTCTGTTCTAGTTCTGTTCTAGTTCTGTTCTAGTTCTGTTCTAGTTCTGTACTAGTTCTGTTCTAGTTCTGTTCTAGTTCTGTTCTAGTTCAGTTCTAGTTCAGTTCTAGTTCAGTTCTAGTTCAGTTCTAGTTAAGTTCTAGTTCTGTTCTAGTTCTGTTCTAGTTCTGTTCTAGTTCTGTTCTGGTTCTGTTCTAGTTCTGTTCTAGTTCTTTTCTAGTTCTGTTCTAGTTCTGTTCTAGTTCTGTTCTAGTTCTGTTCTAGTTCTGTTCTAGTTCTGTTCTAGTTCTGTTCTAGTTCTGTTCTAGTTCTGTTCTAGTTCTGTTCTAGTTCTGTTCTAGTTCTGTTCTAGTTCTGTTCTAGTTCTGTTCTAGTTCTATTCTAGTTCTGTTCTAGTTCTGTTCTAGTTCTGTTCTAGTTCTGTTCTAGTTCTGTTCTAGTTCTTTTCTAGTTCTTTTCTAGTTCGGTTCTAGTTCAGTTCTAGTTCTGTTCTAGTTCTTTTCTAGTTCTGTTCTAGTTCGGTTCTAGTTCTGTTCTAGTTCTGTTATCTTCACCAAATTTTATTTATGTATTTTTTTATCGATGACATATTTTCAAAATAAATTATTTATGCGCTTAAAGGAGGTTATAAAACTATCAAATGCATGAGTAAGTAATTTTTTGAACAGAAAACAGTATAAATTATTATTACTTAAATATATTTATAAATTATTTAAGAATTTAAAATAAATAGCAAATTTACTTAGTATATAAGAGTCCAAAGAAAAGAGTGTTATATGAATAGTAGTCAAAGCCTAGAACAGCAAATAGCATGGGTAAGTGAAAGAAACAAATTCTAGGAAACATAAATGATTTCTAACGTTGTAACTCCTGGCAGTTAAAAATTTACATTTTATGTTAGTTCCAATACTATGGGCATTTGTGCCCATAACAAAAATCAATGCTGAATATGAGGTGTCTAAATATTGTCAACTAGTACCAGTGGGCACTAAATTGCCTAGTTTGGAATCATGTCAAACTTTCTATACTTGTCTGGGACAAAAACAAGTAGCGGAATCTAAATGTGCCGGTGACGATGTATTTGATAAAGATTTGCAAATGTGTGTGCCTAGAACTAATAACAATTGCCATGTTAACATAGAAAATCCTTGTGAAAATCAAGATGACACATGGGTAGGCGATACTAAAGATTGTAGCCTTTGGCATTATTGTTCAAGTGGTAAGCTAATAGGCAGCGGTTCTTGCGCATTAGGACAATATTTTGATGACACTATTAAATCGTGTGTCAATGGCAAATGTCCCTATAATATGGAAACCTCTGGAGAGATTAACGATTTATGTCAAATTATGCAAAAGGATCAATTCTTTGGTGATTTTCAAGACTGTGCTGTTTGGCATAGATGTAATGGCTCAGGCATGAATAAAGGCAAATGTGAACATGGATTGGTAAGGGGCTTAAGTAATTTTAACAAATTTTTGAGAATTTTATCTAATGAAAAACTCTTTTTTTTTTCACAGCTTTACGACACCCAAAAGCGTATGTGTCTTAAGGACAGTGATCAACTATGTGAACATAACGGAGGTAAACTTCCCCTTGTAACACAGGGTCTAGAAGGTAAAAATTGTATAGAGAATAAAGCAAAAATTGCTGACGTAAGAGTATGCTCCATGTACTATGAGTGCCAAGAAACTAAATGGAAAATGTTTACTTGCTCCACTAATCAATATTTCGATATTAAATCTGAGAAGTGTGAAGATCGCCAAATTGCTAAACCTGCAAAAGGTTGTAATCGTTGTCAATTTACAAAAACTACTTGGGTTAATGAAGTCGACGCCCATTGCAGAGCATATAATATATGTAAAGATGGCCAGACAATAGCTAGTGGTTGGTGTCAAGAATATAGTTACTTCAATGAAGAGTTGCAATACTGTTTAATTGATGACATGTATTTCGACAAATATCGTGAAAATAATGGAGCCTGCAATAACACTACCTGCAGCAGTGTACAATGTAAGATTGTGGAGTGTTTAGCTGATGCTAATAAATCGTTATACGAATGTCAACTTCAAGTTTATGTGAATGAAAGAAATTTATCACCAAATATATGTCGAGCTGCGCTTTGTAGAGATTCCGAATCATATCCTGAGTGTAAGAATAATCTTGTTTGTGATGCATAGTTGGTTCTAATTATCCAGAATGTTATTAAAAAAGAATTTCGTAAATTTCAGTAAAAACATCTAGTGTTTTATTTAAAATCATTCTTCAAAGACTTTTAGAGCAAATTTTTATGCATATTGTTTTATAAACCTTTGATAAATTACTATGAATAAAGACCTTAATATTTAGCTAAATTTCATATCCTAAACTTTCTTCAACAACTGACGAAAGTTGTTTATCATATTTATAAACAATATTTTTGTTTATTTGTAGTTTCCTTTAATATTAGATAGAGAAATTAATTAAATTGATTATTTTTTTTTTATCTTATCCCAAATATTTCACAATACTATAGTTAGTCTAGTCTATAGTCTAGTCTAGTTCATAGTCTAGTCTATAGTCTAGTCTATAGTCTAGTCTATAGTCTAGTCTATAGTCTAGTCTATAGTCTAGTCTATAGTCTAGTCTATAGTCTAGTCTATAGTCTAGTCTATAGTCTAGTCTATAGTCTAGTCTATAGTCTAGTCTATAGTCTAGTCTATAGTCTAGTCTATAGTCTAGTCTATAGTCTAGTCTATAGTCTAGTCTATAGTCTAGTCTATAGTCTAGTCTATAGTCTAGTCTATAGTCTAGTCTATAGTCTAGTCTATAGTCTAGTCTATAGTCTAGTCTATAGTCTAGTCTATAGTCTAGTCTATAGTCTAGTCTATAGTCTAGTCTATAGTCTAGTCTATAGTCTAGTCTATAGTCTAGTCTATAGTCTAGTCTATAGTCTAGTCTATAGTCTAGTCTATAGTCTAGTCTATAGTCTAGTCTATAGTCTAGTCTATAGTCTAGTCTATAGTCTAGTCTATAGTCTAGTCTATAGTCTAGTCTATAGTCTAGTCTATAGTCTAGTCTATAGTCTAGTCTATAGTCTAGTCTATAGTCTAGTCTATAGTCTAGTCTATAGTCTAGTCTATAGTCTAGACTAGTCTATAGTCTAGTCTATAGTCTAGTCTATAGTCTAGTCTGTAGTCTAGTCTATAGTCTAGTCTATAGTCTAGTCTATAGTCTAGTCTATAGTCTAGTCTATAGTCTAGTCTATAGTCTAGTCTATAGTCTAGTCTATAGTCTAGTCTATAGTCTAGTCTATAGTCTAGTCTATAGTCTAGTCTATAGTCTAGTCTATAGTCTAGTCTATAGTCTAGTCTATAGTCTAGTCTATAGTCTAGTCTATAGTCTAGTCTATAGTCTAGTCTAGTCTAGTCTATAGTCTAGTCTATAGTCTAGTCTATAGTCTAGTCTATAGTCTAGTCTATAGTCTAGTCCATAGTCTAGTCCATAGTCTAGTCTATAGTCTAGTCTGTAGTCTAGTCTATAGTCTAGTCTATAGTCTAGTCTATAGTCTAGTCTATAGTCTAGTCTATAGTCTAGTCTATAGTCTAGACTCTAGTCTAGTCTATAGTCTAGTCTATAGTCTAGTCTAGTCTAGTCTATAGTCTTGTCTATAGTCTAGTCTATAGTCTAGTCTATAGTCTAGTCTATAGTCTAGTCTATAGTCTAGTCTATAGTCTAGTCTATAGTCTAGTCTATAGTCTAGTCTATAGTCTAGTCTATAGTCTAGTCTATAGTCTAGTCTATAGTCTAGTCTATAGTCTAGTCTATAGTCTAGTCTATAGTCTAGTCTATAGTCTAGTCTATAGTCTAGTATATAGTCTAGTCTATAGTCTAGTCTATAGTCTACTCTATAGTATAGTCTATAGTCTAGTCTATAGTCTAGTCTATAGTATAGTCTATAGTCTAGTCTATAGTCTAGTCTATAGTCTAGTCTATAGTCTGGTCTTTGGCCTAATCTATAGTCAAAATTATTACTAAAAACTATATATTTTTTTAATAATTCACTGCATTTAAGGTGTAAAATATTCGGCACAGCCCATTTTATCATTCTTACTTGTTTGTTAGTGCTTGAGGTCAGTTTATTATAAATGAAAATCTTATCTATAAATTAAGGAATTTTTAGTTTATTTTGTAAATAAATTTTGCTTAATTAATTTTTATATCTTAAATAATAGCTAAGTTTATATCTATCTAGAAATAATCAAATGCCTAAGTACTAGACCTTTTATTATAAAAGGCAACACAATCTCGGACAAACATAGTCAGTGTTAAAAATCTAACGACTGGTGAAAAGCAGAGAATTCGCTTAAGAAATAAAACTTTAAACATGGGTGGTAAGTGAGCAAAAAGGATTAAGTATTTGGTTATTTTTAATATTATTGTATATAATATCTGTTGTCCAAACTTGTTTCCTTAGTTTCATCACTAGTGGCCAGTGTTGCCATCATACTTTTAGCATTTAGCTTGCAAACGGCCTATGCTGGCTACGATGTTGCCAGCTACTGTCAACTTGTACCAACTGGCACTAAATTTCCCAGTTTGAAATCATGCCAAAAGTATTACATCTGCCAAGACAATGGCCAAGTAATTAAAACCTCTTGTAGCGGTAGCGATGTCTTTAGCAAAGATAAACAAAATTGTGTATCTGCCTCTTCAGCGAATTGTAATATTGAAACTCCTAATCCATGTAAGGGTAAGGATCAAGTTTGGATATCAGATCCTAATGATTGTCATAGGTGGATTTATTGTACGAAGGATGCAATATTTGCCAGTGGTGACTGTGCATATGGACAGTATTTTAATGTAACTGAAGAACTGTGTGTTGTTGGTGATTGTCAAGATAGTGATGAACCTATAGAGATAAAAAATATATGTCAGATTATGCAAGTTGGTCAATTCTTTGGTGATATCGACGATTGTGCCGCTTGGCATGTTTGCTACGGAAACGATGACACAGAAGGCCAATGCACCAACGGAATGGTAAGTCTTATCTAAATATTATCTAAATATTAAACTTTAACAAAAGTCTACTACATACATATAATATGTATTTTCATTTAACAAGATCTACAATGCCGAAAGACGCATGTGTGTACCCAGTAATGGCAATATGTGCGCTGGACCAACCGAAAACTGTAATGAAACTGAACTGAACAAAATAATTCCCAACTCTGGTGTCTGTTCTATTTACTTCGAATGTACGGAATCCGATTCAAAATATAAGTGGAATAAAATTTCATGTGATAATGGTGAATATTACGATGTGAACACAAAAAAGTGCGAAAATCGTCAAAAGGCTACACCGGTCGAAGGCTGTGATCGTTGTGAATTTTCCAATGCAACTTTTGTAAATTCTGTTGATCCCACTTGCATGGGGTATATAGCATGTGAAGATGGAAAGGAGATTGTTAAGGGCACGTGTGTCAGCGGCTATTTTAACGAAGAACAACAAATATGTACTAATAATGATGATGGTTTACCAGATTATAGAAATAAAAATGGTGCTTGTTACATTGAAACAGCCACTACAACAGAAGAACCCTCTAAAGAATCCACACCAGCGAAAACTGATCCACAGGAAACTACACCATCGAAGACGGAGCCAGCAACAACTGAGCCAGAGCAAACGACACCAACCAAAAAAGAGCCAGAGGAAACTACACCAGCAACAACTGAGCCAGGGGAAACGACACCAACGAAAAAAGAGCCAGAGGAAACTACACCAGCAACAACAGAGAAAGTGGAAACCACAGTAGCAACAACTGAGCCAGTGGAAACCACACCCGAAGAAAAAAACCCCGCTTTAGATAACGAAACCACAAAAAAGCCACCAAAAAAAAAAACAACAACAAAAAAGCCAAAAACAACGAAGAAGCCAAAAACAACGAAGAAGCCAAAAAACTAATTAAAATTTATTCAAACACTAATTGTTGAATAAATTATTATTTTCTTTACGAAATTATTTTCTCTTTGAAATAATTGTTTAAGCCTAACAGTATGCAGTTTTCTTAAGATTTATAAAAAGTAATAAATATTCCAAAAAAGAATTGCCAGGTGAGTGAAAGTAAGATATTTATTTATCTTTACTCATCTTCATCATTTCAATACATATCTAAAAATTTCCAGAGTGGCCTCCGGTAGGTTAGTGGTTAGTGTTCTAGTCTGGTAGACCGGAGGTGGTGGGTTCGATTCCCACCTGAGGCACTGATTAAGGAGCGCATAACAGGACCGATAGACGCCAAGGTGTATTTCTCTGGATTTGATGTATATACATCCTCCTTTCAAACTAACTATGTAACTAACTAAATATTTCCAGATCTAGTTCTAGTTATGTTCTAGCTCTATTCTAGTTCTGTTCTAGTTCTGTTCTAGTTCTGTTCTAGTTCTGTTCTAGTTTCTGTTCTAGTTCTGTTCTAGTTCTGTTCTAGTTCTGTTCTAGTTCTGTTCTAGTTCTGTTCTAGTTCTGTTCTAGTTCTGTTCTAGTTCTGTTCTAGTTCTGTTCTAGTTCTGTTCTAGTTCTGTTCTAGTTCTGTTCTAGTTCTGTTCTAGTTCTGTTCTAGTTCTGTTCTAGTTCTGTTCTAGTTCTGTTCTAGTTCTGTTCTAGTTCTGTTCTAGTTCTGTTCTAGTTCTGTTCTAGTTCTGTTCTAGTTCTGTTTCTAGTTCTGTTCTAGTTCTGTTCTAATTCTGTTCTAGTTCTGTTCTAGTTCTGTTTCTAGTTCTGTTCTAGTTCTGTTCTAGTTCTGTTCTAGTTCTGTTCTAGTTCTGTTCTAGTTCTGTTCTAGTTCTGTTCTAGTTCTGTTCTAGTTCTGTTCTAGTTCTGTTCTAGTTCTGTTCTAGTTCTGTTCTAGTTCTGTTCTAGTTCTGTTCTAGTTCTGTTCTAGTTCTGTTCTAGTTCTGTTCTAGTTCTGTTCTAGTTCTGTCTAGTTCTGTTTCTAGTTCTGTTCTAGTTCTGTTCTAGTTCTGTTCTAGTTCTTGTTCTAGTTCTGTTCTAGTTCTGTTCTAGTTCTGTTCTAGTTCTGTTCTAGTTCTGTTCTAGTTCTGTTCTAGTTCTGTTCTAGTTCTGTTCTAGTTCTGTTCTAGTTCTGTTCTAGTTCTGTTCTAGTTCTGTTCTAGTTCTGTTCTAGTTCTGTTCTAGTTTGTTCTAGTTCTGTTCTAATTCTTGTTCTAATTCTGTTCTAGTTCTGTTCTAGTTCTGTTCTAGTTCTGTTCTAGTTCTGTTCTAGTTCTGTTTCTAGTTCTGTTCTAGTTCTGTTCTAGTTCTGTTCTAATTCTGTTCTAGTTCTTTCTAGTTCTGTTCTAGTTCTGTTCTAGTTCTGTTCTAGTTCTGTTCTAGTTCTGTTCTAGTTCTGTTCTAGTTCTGTTCTAGTTCTGTTCTAGTTCTGTTCTAGTTCTGTTCTAGTTCTGTTCTAGTTCTGTTCTAGTTCTGTTCTAGTTCTGTTCTAATTCTGTTCGAATTCTGCTCTAGTTCTGTTCTATTCTGTTCTAATTCTGTTTTAGTTCCATTTTATATTCTGCTCTGTTCATCATATTTTACCCCCAAGAGGGCCTTGCAATTAATATTGAATAAATATTAAGCGGATTTAATTAGAATTTTGTATGATGAATAAAATTTTATCAGCAAGATTCGACAAAACATATTTTGTTTTAAATTTTTGTCATAAATAGGTAATGTCAAATCTGTTCACAACATTGATAAAGCAGAAACAAAAAACTGACATAAAAAACATAGTTCAAGTAGAACTATAAAATACCCTGCCATAGAGTATTAATAACGTCTATAGCTGTGGTGCGTAGGGTGTATTTATTGTAGGGTCTCTGTTATAATCTACATATTCGCTGCTTTTCAATCCTTTTAATTTCCAGAAAACATTCTTAGAAAATTACTTTGAAAGATGGGTAGGTCCAAACCACATTATTTTTTAAAATATATCAGTGTCAATCATCAGTGCCGGGTATTTTTTTACTGTTACAAACGAATGTTAATCTATAGTATAATATCAAAACTAACATTCTTAATTAAAACTTAAGACAAAGTAATATTTCATTTATAACCAAAACATTTTGCATTCAAATTTAGTTATTTCTGAAAGTTCTACAAATATAGTTCGGTTTGGTTTTCTTAAGCAAAAAAACCATGAAAGGTACAAAAAAATTATAAAGCTAAATATTGTTCAACAGAAACGATTATTATTAAACTCTAGGACTGATTTTGTTTCCTTTCTTATTACACTCTATCAGCGTATCCTGTTGTGATTAAACTCTTTATGGGAATTCTGTTTTTGCCTAAATATTACACAATCGAACTACGAGTACCATTATCCGAAGATGTCTGTCGTTATTTCAAGAATGGTGAAATTGTGCGTAATCCCAGTTCCTGCACTGAAACATTAATATGTCAAGATGGCAAAAGTACGCCGCATTCCATAAAATGTAACGGTGATAAAATAGTTTTATTGTCAACAATGGATTGTGGAAAACCTAAAAAACCCGACAGTTATTGCACACCAGTATGTTCAAAATCTAGTCATAAATGGATTGCAGATGAATAAAAATTGTGGGGAATGGCATGAATGCAAAATGGCACAGTTAGGTCAGACAGGTTTCTGTCCCGTGGGACAAATGTTCAATCAAACGGAACAAAGATGTATTTACGATAATGGTAAATGCGACAAAACCTTCGATATATGTAAAGTGGCTAAAACATCGGTAAGTATTTGGGATGAAAATAATTGTCACAAATACTACGAATGCGATAAAAATGAGGCTCTTCAAGAAAAAAACTGCACATTGGGAAATTATTACGATGCACGTTCAGGTGACTGTATTGAAAAAGCAAAGGTCAATTGCTATAAACATCCGATACCCGACTATGCCTGTGGAAATCCAAAATTGGCCATACTTAATGCTTTCGTAAAGGACCAAGCCACTTGTCGTGGCTTTTTCTATTGCAAGAGCAAGCCCAAGAAAACAGAAAAAGATGGGTCTTGGAATTATGATCCTGATGAAAAACCGACTTGGGGTCAATGTCAAAAGAATTTTTTTTTCGATGAAGAAACACAATACTGTCGTGATCAAAATTATGTTAAATGTGATGAAGATCGTTGTGATGGTCATATGAGTGGCAAAGTATTGAGCGAAAAAACCTGGTTGTAAGCATTATTTAGAATGTACCAATGGCTACGCACAAAGAAGTTCCATGTGATATAATAAATATTTCGATCCAGTTACTGAAACTTGTGTCTATACAAAAATTACATATCCGATTTGTGAGAAAAAATTTTAATAAATTAATGACTAATAAAAAATAAAAACTTTACTAAATACATTCACATTTATACATACAATAACTTGTTTGTATTTTCTAGTCCATTGTAAATCCTAGTGTATATAATTTCTAATTCATAGTATAGCAATTTAAATTTTAGTTCAGTTCTAGTAGAATTTTAGTTAGTTTTATTTCAGTTCTAGTTCAGTTCTAGTTCAGTTCTAGTTCAGTTCTAGTTCAGTTCTAGTTCAGTTCTAGTTCAATTCTAGTTCAGTTCTAGTTCAGTTCTAGTTCAGTTCTAGTTCAGTTCTAGTTCAGTCTAGTTCAGTTCTAGTTCAGTTCTAGTTCAGTTCTAGTTCAGTTCTATTCAGTTCTAGTTCAGTTCTAGTTCAGTTCTAGTTCAGTTCTAGTTCAGTTCTAGTTCAGTTCTATAGCCTAGTCTATAGTCTGGTCTATAGTCTAGTATATAGTCTAGTCTATAGTCTAGTCTATAGTCTAGTCTATAGTCTAGTCTATAGTCTAGTCTATAGTCTAGTCTATAGTCAAGTCTATAGTCTAGTCTATAGTCTAGTCTATAGTCTAGTCTATAGTCTAGTCTATAGTCTAGTCTATAGTCTAGTCTATAGTCTAGTCTATAGTCTAGTCTATAATCTAGTCTATAGTCTAGTCTATAGTCTAGTCTATAGTCTAGTCTATAGTCTAGTCTATAGTCTAGTCTGTAGTCTAGTCTATAGTCTAGTCTATAGTCTAGTCTATAGTCTAGTCTATAGTCTAGTCTATAGTCTAGTCTATCTAGTCTATAGTCTAGTCTATAGTCTAGTCTATAGTCTAGTCTATAGTCTAGTCTATAGTCTAGTCTATAGTCTAGTCTATAGTCTAGTCTATAGTCTAGTCTATAGTCTAGTCTATAGTCTATAGTCTAGTCTATAGTCTAGTCTATAGTCTGGTCTAGTCTAGTCTATAGTCTAGTCTATAGTCTAGTCTATAGTCGAATCTATAGTCTAGTCTATAGTCTAGTCTATAGTCTAGTCTATAGTCTAGTCTATAGTCTAGTCTATAGTCTAGTCTATAGTCTAGTCTATAGTCTATAGTCTAGTCTATAGTCTAGTCTATAGTCTAGTATATAGTCTAGTCTATAGTCTAGTATACTCTAGTCTATAGCCTAATCTATAGTCTAGTCTATAGTCTAGTCTATAGTCTAGTCTGTAGTCTAGTCTATAGTCTAGTCTATAGTCTAGTCTATAGTCTAGTCTATAGTCTAGTCTATAGTCTAGCCTATAGTCTAGTCTATAGTCTAGTCTATAGTCTAGTCTATAGTCTAGTCTATAGTCTAGTCTATAGTCTAGTCTATAGTCTAGTCTATAGTCTAGTCTATAGTCTAGTCTATAGTCTAGTCTATAGTCTAGTCTATAGTCTAGTCTATAGTCTAGTCTATAGTCTAGTCTATAGTCTAGTCTATAGTCTAGTCTATAGTCTAGTCTATAGTCTAGTCTATAGTCTAGTCTATAGTCTAGTCTATAGTCTAGTCTAGTCTATAGTCTAGTCTATAGTCTAGTCTATAGTCTAGTCTAGTCTATAGTCTAGTCTATAGTCTAGTCTATAGTCTAGTCTATAGTCTAGTCTATAGTCTAGTCTATAGTCTAGTCTATAGTCTAGTCTATAGTCTAGTCTATAGTCTAGTCTATAGTCTAGTCTATAGTCTAGTCTATAGTCTAGTCTATAGTCTAGTCTATAGTCTAGTCTATAGTCTAGTCTATAGTCTAGTCTATAGTCTAGTCTATAGTCTAGTCTATAGTCTAGTCTATAGTCTAGTCTATAGTCTAGTCTATAGTCTAGTCTATAGTCTAGTCTATAGTCTAGTCTATAGTCTAGTCTATAGTCTAGTCTATAGTCTAGTCTATAGTCTAGTCTATAGTCTAGTCTATAGTCTAGTCTATAGTCTAGTCTATAGTCTAGTCTATAGTCTAGTCTATAGTCTAGTCTATAGTCTAGTCTATAGTCTAGTCTATAGTCTAGTCTATAGTCTAGTCTATAGTCTAGTCTATAGTCTATTCTATAGTCTAGTCTATAGTCTAGTCTATAGTCTAGTCTATAGTCTAGTCTATAGTCTAGTCTATAGTCTAGTCTATAGTCTAGTCTATAGTCTAGTCTATAGTCTAGTCTATAGTCTAGTCTATAGTCTATTCTATAGTCTAGTCTATAGTCTAGTCTATAGTCTAGTCTATAGTCTAGTCTATAGTCTAGTCTATAGTCTAGTCTATA